AAAATTTAATTCCAATAATGTTTTTGAGTGTATGTATGAATGTACTTTTTTTTTTTTTTGAGTTTTAGAATTTTATTTTTCAGTGACATCACTTTAAACACCACAAAAAATTAATTTATCATTCTCACAGGCCATCCACTCACCACCACCACCCGGCAGCGCAATGTGTGGCCCTGAAGATTTGATACGCGTCACCAAGAACGTGACACTGGCCACGGCAAAGGCCGTTGCCGCCGGTGCTTCCAATTTACAGACCGATATTGTCGCAGCCGCTAATTTAGGGCGACGCGCCATATCTGAAATGCTACTAATTTGCCGTTCGGTTGCATGGAATTGTGCCGAGACGGAAGATTTGCGTCAACGCACACTCGAAGCTGGTGCCGCTGTCGGCGAATCCTATCGCGAACTTTTGAATGGCATACTACACAATTGTTCGGCCGATGATCGTGTACATCTGTCGCGTCGTGTAGCGAAGAGCGTAACCGATCTAGTGGCTATGGCGCGCCTACTAAAGGGTTCGGATTGGATTGATCCCGAAGATCCGACAGTGATTGCCGAAAACGAGCTGCTTGGCGCGGCGGCATCTATTGATGCGGCGGCTAAGAAGCTGGCGTCCCTACGGCCGCGTCGCCAACCCGATGTGAAGGTGAGTGTTTTATATATATACATATATATATATGTTCTCATTAATATGTGTGTGCCCACCCAAGTGGTGTTGAAAATAGTTTTTTAACAATCTAATGAAATGGTGTTGGAGTTTTCGTAACTAACTGTGCTTTAAAAAACAAATAATTTATTAAAAATTAATTTAAGATAATTAACTGTGCGAATTTCACTAAACCGAAAAGCTAAAAAATTAATGGTGTGTGGTTACATAGTGTGTGTGTCTGCCCTAAACTGCTACTAAACGCTAATAGTTCCAGTCAGATATGTTTGATATTCTTGGTTGTTACATTTAAAGGTTCACCCAGGAATCAAACATATTATTACTGCGATTATTAATATGCTACTAAACAATATTTTTTATAATGGCGAAGGTTTTCAATGCACTAAACAATTGTAAATTACACATAACACAACATAACCTCAAAACACTTCTACTACAAAACATATAAACTAATTGACTTTCCACTTACAGATCGAGTTGGACGAGAACATGAAGTTCGATGAAATGATTTTGGAGGCCGCCAAAGGTATTATGGCCGCTTCGTCGGCTTTGGTGCGCGCTGCCAACGCGGCGCAACGCGAACTCATCGACCAGGGTAAAGTGGCGCGTCGTCCGCTCACCTCCTCCGATGATGGACAATGGTCGGAAGGCCTTATATCGGCGGCGCGGCTTGTTGCTGCCGCCACACATAGCTTGGTTGAGGCCGCACAGAATTTGGTGCGCGGCGTAGGCACCGAGGAAATGCTAATTTCAACCGCCAAGCAAGTGGCAGCCTCAACGGCACAATTGCTTATCGCTTGCAAAGTGAAATCGAATCCAAATTCGGAAGCTGGACGTCGTCTACAAGCGGCAGGCAATCAAGTGATCAAGTCTACCGAGAATTTGGTGCGCGCCGCACAACAGGGATTGGAGGATGAGGAGGAGAAGACATTGAAAATCAACACGTCGATGGTGGATGGCATGGCGCAGGAGATTAATGCGCGCTCCGATGTGCTGCGCTTGGAGAAACAGTTGGAAGAGGCGCACCAGAAACTCGTCACCATTAGGCATGCGCGCGCGATGCAGAAGAAGACACAAGGTTTTGCCACGGACGAGAGTGACACGGAGTATGCGCAGTCCACCTACGGCACATTGCAGAAGAGTCATAATAATGTATGTATACGCTTGTAATTGTGCGTTTTTATTGTTGTTACTCGATTTTTATTTTGTTGTTGCACATTTTCATATTTTAATTGATGTAGCTTTGCATTGAGGAAGAACAGCTCGTTCATTGAGTGGCCAACACACTGGCGAAATTTTTAAACAAACGAAAAGAAACGAACTGCATGTTTGTTGTTTTGTAAATTACAACAAAAATTTTAAAAAATAAATTGAATTGGCAACAATTGGTGTTGAGACAAATAAGTGTGTTGCTCGCTGTGGTTAAAATATTTTTTTTCTTTTTAGCATATTATAATAATTTATGTAGACTAACGGCACTTATGTTTTGTTAATTAGAAAAAAAAAAACAATGGTTGCATTTACATCCACCACTAATATTCGTTCTAACCAAAAATAATAATAACGTCCGCCACTTTAACTTCATTCACATCTAAAACCTTTAGACACTAAACCGTTCGGCGGGCTACCCCTCGGACGTGCCCACTTCGCCGAGCTATTACAACCAACAAGAACAACAGCAGCAGGCGAAGCATCATTACAACTATGCGACGCATCCACAGCATTTCCATCATCCTGCCGCTGTGTCGCCACCGCCACCACCGATGAGCCACCAATATGCTAGCGTTGGTGATTTGAATGGTGGCATCGAGTTGCCACCACCGCCGCCACCACTCTCCACCACACTGTACAACATGCAGGTAGCCACTGCGGCCGGCAGTGGTGGCAGCACTTTTAGACCTAACCCCAAACTAACAGCCAACGCCGTGCCACGCCCCTACCCCGGTAGTCCGACAGCAGGTGGTGCTGGTGGCAGTTTATTAGGTACTAACAGCGGTGTTAGCGGTGCTAAACTCACACAATCACCCACTTCTAAAGCGAATGTTAGTAATTATCATCAACAACAACAACAATCTTTTGAAAATACCACCACCGCTACAACAACAATCGCTGGCAATGCTGCTCACCCAACGCAGTCACCACAACAGAAGTCATCGTCGTCGGTTAATCGCAAATTGGAAGCTTGTGTACAAGATTTGCATGACAAGACGTTCGGCCAGGGTGGTGTGGTGCAGATTACCGGTGCAGGCGCTTATCCAGGTCAAAACTATGAGGGTTATACCTCGAGGTGAGTACGGTGAAAGTGATAGCGCATTGATTGCAGAAATATGAAGCTAATTGGTACATTTCACATTTGAGGTTATGTTAAGAATTTTCATTTGATATGAAATTTAGCAGTAGAATTGAATTTGTGTTGTTTAAAAAGCTATATACATATATTATTTTACCGCGCGACACTATATAAATACAATATGCGACATGTAGATGCCAGTCGGGTCTACGTAATCGGAATAGACACGAATTTTTATCCAACCACGGACGATCAACTCCGCATAATTCTGCCGCTACAACAACAGCAAAAACAACAATACGACAGTCGGGTCGGAGTAACCGGTACAGCCCGCATTTTTATCCGGCCAAGGACTGTCAACTCGGCACCATTCCTCGAAACTACTTCCTGAATGTTTTCTACCACTATAACAACAACAACTGATCAAAATCAAGTCGTTAGGGGGCAAACTTTTTTAATTTGACAATATTTCGACAAGAAATTTGCCACAGATTATTGTCCAAAGCATCACTTCAAGCTCCCAAAAAGAAATTTTTTTTTGTCAATACGGACATTAGCATAAATGTGTTATATAAACTAACGGATCAAAATCATGTTAAAAATCTATTTATACCTTTTACGCTATAAAAAATTAACCTGGCGAAGCCAAAGTCAACATTTTTTCATGCATATTTCGAATTGGTTTAATAAAATATTAAATACTAATGAATCCGAATTTTTAGATATGAAACGCGTAACTACGAGAAGAGCAATGAAACGGTGGACAAACCATTGGACTCCAACTTCTCGCAATTAACGCTCAGCACTGATGGCGGCAAAGTCAGCATAATTGATCAGGGCTCGGAGCGTTTGACATCGATGACACAGCGCGTAATGGAACGCAAAACATTTAGCACCACAACCGAGACGCGTTCGGAGAAGAAAACCGAGTCGCATAGTTTTCGCATGGAATAGATTTAAATAAGTTAGAGATGCGAATACACACAAAAGCAAATAAGCGAAAAACAAAAATACTGTAAAGGAGAATAACAAATAAAAATAAATAATATAAACATAACAAAAAATTAAAATAACTATAACAAAAATTCGTAAAAAAATATGATAAAAAATTTCTAAAAAATGTAATAAAAAATTATAAAAAATAATAAAAAATTAAAATAATAATAATAAAAAATTATAAAAAAAAAAACATGAAAAAAATTGCATGAAATGAACAATGTAAATGTGTAACTGTAAAATTTGGCAAACATGTTGGTGCTATTAAACTAACTGTTGTGTGTTGTTATCTCATTAACAACCTAACGGTTTGCCACAAAGTTTGCTTGCGAGAAATGCCACTTCGCCAAAATAACTACCGTTTTGTAGGCGCTTAAGAAAATTTGCCAAAAGTGCTTTTAACTGTACTAATATTTATAATTAAACTACCTACTTGTAATAATAATAATGCATTGCTATTTAGATATTAGTAAATAATAAGAGATTTGATATGTTTTTTGTTTTGGAAAAAAAAAATGTATATTGCGCCAAACAGAAACAGAAAAATGGTGTAAGAACAGTTGAAAGGGCAACTACTCACCATTTGCTCGCCAAATTGTGCCGTTATAATGTAATTTTGTGTTATTCCATTGCCGCATTGTGTAACTGTGTATTTTTCCTCCAGCGTGCTTGTCCTTTTTTACGTTATAATGTAAAGTTCAATACAACGATCTGCAGTCCATATGGAAATGATATTTTTGTTGCCAATATGTTGCCTGTACTTGCATAATGTTTTAATTATTTACATATCGTCAACTAAAATGCAAAACAACGTGATATCAATAAACAACAAAAAAAAAAAAAAAAAAAAAAAAAAAAAAAAAAAAAAAAAAAAAAAAAAAATCAAAAATCGTCAGCTATAATAACCAATATATGACCAATTTATACCCAAAACTCATGTTTTTGTTCCAAAAATTTTTCCTCGGTCTGTAAAGTGATGTTACGTTACTTAGCATTTTAGCTGGCGATATATTATATAACACAATTAACTGTATTAATTATTGTTTAGAGCGCATTTGTAAGCAAAAAGTTGCACCACTCACCACAAGAATATACAAAAAATATTACAATAAACCATATACATATATATTTAAATAAACAAAATGAAAATGTGAAAAAGAAAAAAAAAACAATTTAAATGTACTACGTTCTATGCTTTATATTGTAATTCGTTAATTGTCTAACGCCACTTGTATCCCTTTTATACGTGATTAATGTTTTTAAAACTTATTTTAACACTTCGAATGGAAATATTTATATGTATGTATTTGTATTTTTCTTTTTTTCGCACACGCTAAATGCTATATAAAATATATATTAGACCTATTTGTACATACATGCGTATATATTTTATTTTTTTTTTTTTTAGTTTTTGGCTTACAATTATTTACGCGCATATAAACTAAAAATACTTTTTTAATTTGTGTTTTCATGTGTATTTGTTTTTATCTGTACAATGAAATTAAATTAAATAAAAATAAGTATTAATAACTGAGTTGGAGAGTTTTGTGGATTTTCTTCTAGCTGTGAGGAAATTCATTTCAGATTAGGTACTGTTATTGCTATAAAAATAAGTGCCGACTTAGAATTTTTTAGTTTCGAAGAGGTTATAATTTCGAAATTAGCCGTTTTCGGAATTTCTTTCATCTTCTCAAAAAACAAGTTACATAGTTCAGATTTATACTAGATGTTTGCGCGAATCTCAAAGCATGGTTGCTGATGGGGGGATATGATCGACACACGCTCTCGAAAACAAGCTTTAAAATCCCCGACTGTCTCAGAGCTGCGGTGCGGAGCTACCTTAGTAACAGCTATACTAAACTAGAGAGGGACCACAACACATATCGGTCACGTCAGCAGCAGCACAAGAATGTATTCTAGGTCCAGACTTGCGAAACATAAGCCATTACGCTACACTAAAACTCGAAATGCCAGATTTGTACTTAATTGGCTACGCGAAGGACATTGCAGTAGTAATTACAGACGCAGAAGAAGCGAAGCTTAATCAAGTCATAATATGAACGCAAGCATGGTTCGACTCATACAACCTTCAGCTCGCTATGGGGAAAACAGACCTATTACTGCTAACAAATAAGCACATTTCCCTCGAAAAAAGTATGCAAAAACAGTAAACTAACCTTCTTGGTACAAATCCAGCAAGCCGCAGGAAAGGCAGCGAACATCATCTCTCAACTTAGCAAACTAACAGCCAACCTAGGGAGCCCCTGGCAGGAAAAGAGAAAGCTCCTCACGTCGATGACAATCAGGGTTCTATTATAAGAAGCTGAGATTGGGGTAGATGCGCTTAAAAAATAAAACCGGCGTACAGTAGTGGCCAGAGTGCACCGCAGCGCACCTCAGCCCTCACAGTTGCATCAGCCTGCCGAACAGTGCCAGGTAATGCAATATTAATCATAAGCGATAATGTCCCAATTTAATTTCTTATCTAGCATACGAAAAGAAAAAGCTGTGCGAGCTAAAGAAAACGTCCGAAAAATACAAAAACGCAATAGAACAAATAAAGAAAGATACAATAACAATATGGTAACGATGATGGGAGAATGAGGGTAGTAGCAGATGAACGGCCACAGACCTAAACTCATTGAGAAGCCGTGAATTCATAGAAGTCGACTTTTACACAACACAACCCAGCCCACGAATGCTACAAAAGGTACCTCCACAGAATTTGGAAAAATCGAAGAAACGCCCTGCCTATACAACGATGCGGCTGAACACACATTCTTTGAGTGTATGCGATGTCAACGAGAACGGACCCGGATTTTTATCCGGCCAAGGACTGTCAACTCGGCAGAATTCTGCCGTTACAACAACAACAACAACAACAACAACCTGGTTTGCCCGATAAACGCGGACAACTTAATCAGCGTCATGGTGGAAAGTGAAGCAAACTGGGGGATGAGCCAGAAATTCGCAGCAATTTTACGACGCGGTAAAAATCGGGACTTGGCTGAAAGTGCGCAGATGTAAATCTATCAGTGAGAAAAAGGTAATGAAGTAATGCAAATGTGGTTTCAGAGTGGGCTGCTGTGATGACAGCACTGTTGATGCGGAAGGCATTTTCCATCCCCTCAGACGCAAACTAAAAAGCATGGGTGAACCGAAATGCATTCGGAAGAATCTAGTCTTTGTACAAAATGAGCAGCATGACGAGCTGAGTCTGCCTGCCCCTCGGCTTTTGAAATACCGATCTAAAATCATGTACACGTTCATTTCTCGTCAAGAAGCTTCTCATTTGTCAGAACCGCCGACATCGGACCACCATAGCATATAGTTGCCATATAAACTGACGGATCTAAATATAGTTATTGTATGAACATTTTATTAACCGAAGTTAATGATATTTTTTGTTTTTTTATTTGTTTTTGAAATTAAAATTGAATAAAATTCCTATTTAGTTTTCATATATGATTGCAATAAACCAAAAACTAAGTATATTTTGTTAAAAAATAACATTGTTTATTAAAATTAGAATATATATCTATGTATATTTATGTATAAGAATATATGCTTATTGGAGAGTACATTATTTACACATACATATAGCTGTACAAAGGTACAAAAATAAATGCAACAAATAGTCTGTTTGTTAATTTATGTATATCATAGCTGGGTTTTCTGCAAGACACAAATCACAACCGCAATTTCAGCGTAACGTTTACTTGTATTCCTGATTCAACTGACGGCCGATCAACCAACGACGAATCTCCGAAGTGCCAGCACCGATCTCATACAATTTAGCATCGCGCATTATGCGACCGGTCGGATACTCATTGATATAGCCATTACCACCAAGTATTTGTATGGCTTCCAGCGCCACTTGAGTGGCTTTCTCAGCACAATACAAAATGACACCAGCGCAATCCTTTGAGCTGCGCTCACCACAATCTGCGGAACGCGCAACAGCATACAAATACGAACGGCAGGCGCTCAAAGTGGTATACATATCAGCCATTTTGCCCTGCATCAGCTGGAATTCACCAATCAGCTGACCCTTTTGCTTGCGTTGATGCGCATAGTCGAAGGAGACATCGATGGCGGCTTGCATCAGACCCACGGGACCGGCAGCCAACACAAGACGTTCATAATCCAAACCGGACATCAGCACATAGACACCCTTATTTTCCTTGCCCAAAATATTCTTAGACGGCACTTTAAGATCCTGGAACACCAATTCGCATGTGCTGCTGCCACGCATGCCCAGTTTATCGAGTTTTTGCGCCACACTGAAACCCTCCCACGCTGTCTCTATGATAAATGCCGTTATGGCATGCTTGTCCTCGCAACCGGTACCGGTCTTGGCGTACACAATTAATGTGTCTGCATCTGAGCCATTGGTAATCCAGAATTTGCTGCCGTTGAGCACATAGTAGTCACCCTTTTTCTCGGCGCGCAACTTCATCGAGACGACATCGGAGCCGGAACCTGGTTCGGACATGGCCAAACCACCGATATGCTCGCCACTGCATAGTTTTGGTAGGTATTTTTCTTTTTGTTCGTTGGTGCCGTTTTTCGTGAGCTGATTCACGCAAAGATTTGAGTGGGCACCGTAGGAGAGTGCAACGCCACCAGCAGCTCTGCAGCAGTGAAAATAAGCGAAAATTTATATATATAATCAAGTGTGTGTGATACTGCTTGCTCACCTGGAAATCTCCTCCATGATAATGCAATGATCGAGGTAAGTGCCACCAGTGCCACCGAAATCCGGTTCAGCTGTGATGCCTAGGAAGCCCAGTTCGCCCATCTTCTGCCAAAATGCGCGTAGATCTCTGTGTGCAACAGGTCAAAGTACATTTCTATTTATGTAAACATCATATTCACAGTGTTCTTTTAATAATAAAGAAACTCACTTGAAGTTGTCATTCTTGTCGATTTCCTTGGCATACGGTGCCAATTCCTTTTGAAAGAAATTGAAAGCGATCTCACGCAACTTCTGTTGTTCCTCATTTAAGCCGTAAAACTTATCATTGACGGGATAGTGTGCTGCACCTCTGACCT